GGTTTAGGGTTTAGGGTTTGCAAACGCTTATTAAGGCTTTCTAGGGTTTGTCAGGCTTTTTAGGGTTAAGGGGAAAGGGCTTTACATTTAATGTTCACAAGGGTTTAGGGTTTAGGGTTTGGGGTTTAGGGTTTAGAGTTCAGAAGGTAGCTCTACCTAACAATCAAGAAAGTCTGCAGCACACATCCCTTTTCGCCTATCAAAACCCTCAACTGTAGACCCTAAACCCTAAACCCTAAACCCTAGACGCTAAACGGTAAACCCTAGACCCAAACCCCTCACCCTAAACCCTAAACCGTTGACCCTAAACCCTAAACCCTAAACCCTAGCCCCTATCGGTGTGCTGCTTTATGCATGCTTTTCAGTTTTAAGATATTGAATTTAGTGAAGGCAAACCCTTTCTACTCGCGGGGTTTAGGGGCCCCTCTGGTGTTCTCCTGCAAGGCCTTTCGGGATCGTGGGGTGGGCTGGAGACGATCCCAGGGCCCCGTGCGCTTCTATAGAAACAGCGCTGCAGCAGCAGTTAATTATATATTAGAGGGATGTGCGCCGCCTTCTGCTGCTGCTGCTGCTGCTGCTGCACCAGCTGCTGCTGCTGCTCCGGCGGCTGCTGCAGCTTCTCCAGCAGCTACAGCAGCAACTGGAGCAGCAGCAGCAACAAGTGCAGCAACAACAGCAGCAGCATCTGCCCAGTCTGGCATGGGCAATGCCCCTGCAGCAGCAGCAGCAGCAGCTGCTGCTGCTGCTGCTGCTGCACCTGTATCATCAGCAGCAGAAGCTTCTGGTGCAGCATCAGCAGCAACATCAGCATCAGGAGCAGCAGCAGCAACAGGAGCATCAGCATCAGCATCAGCAGCAGCATCAGCAGCAGCAGCAGGAGGCGTTGAGCACTGGACATACACCGCAGACCGTCCTGCTGAAGACTTGAGGCAATACTATTACTCTTTAGAGTTTGAGTTTATTTTCTCTGAAGAGACAGGGGATAAGATATACTTTGCGAGCTGTCTCCCGTATAGCTACTCAGACGTCCTTGATCTAACTGCTGCTCTTCAAACAAACCCTAAGGCGAAGGAGGTGTATAGACACCTCAAAGAGACAGATAAAAGGAGACAGACAGCAGAAACAGAGTTATAAAAATAGGCTTTTAAATATGCAGGTAGACACAGAAAGGAGACAGCTTTGTGCAGAAGTAAAGAGACAAGAGAGACAGAGAGAAGGGATATATATATATATATATGCATATATATATATATATATTATATATATATATACATACATATATAAATAGAAAGGAGACAGTTTCATATAAAGAAGAGAGATAAAAGAGACAGGGAGAAGAAACAGACATAGAAAGGGGACAGTAAAAGGATACAGTTTAATACAAACAGAAACAAAGAAGAGAAAGGAGACAGCTTTATACACAGGAGACAGCTAAAGGGGACAGCTTTATACAGAGGCGACAGCTAAAGGAGACAGTTGTATACAGAGGAGACAGCAGAGGAGACAGTTGCATGCAGAGGAGACAGCTAAACGAGACAGCTTTATACAGAGGAGACAGCTAAAGGAGACAGCCAGAGGCAGCAGAGAGAGGAGACAGTGTTAAAGAGGTAGAGACAGAGGAGACAGAGATAAAGGAGCCAAATGCAAGAAAGAGAGCCCTAAAGGAGACAGTTTTGTTTAGAGAGAAGCAGAGAGAAGGAGGCAGACAGAGCAAGGAGACAGCTTATTAAAGGCATACACAAACAAAGGAGAAAGTATTAAGCAAACGAAGTCAGGAGACCGTCTTATACAAACAAAAACAAAGAAGAGACAGCCCATCACAAAAACAAACAGAGAAGAGACAGCAGCAGCATAAAGACAGACGCAGTACAGACACAGACAAGAGACAGAGGGAGGAGACACATAAATAGAGACAGAGCAAGGAGACAGTAAAAGGAGTCGTCAAGAGGAGACAGAGGGAGGAGACAGCTAAGTAGAGACAGAGAAATTGAGAGGAGACAGGTAGATACAAACTGTAGCTGTGTCTTTAGGGTTTAGGGTTTAGGATTTCAAAGTTTAAGGTTTTAGGGTTTAGGGTTTTAGGGCTTTAGCGCTTAGGGTTTTAGGGTTTAGGGTTTAGGGTTTAGGGTTTAGGGTTTAGGGTTTAGGTGCCTGTTTTCCATTGGTTTGTCTGTCTCTTTCTGTCTCTATTTCTATTTCTGTCTCCTTTTCTCTGTCTCCTTCTGCAGCTCTGCTCAACCGCGACTTTATGCGATACACCTGGGGGCCTCCCCTGCCCTGTCTTTCTTATAGGAGACCCTTCCTTTAGGGAAGCTTTTCAGAAGCAGCAGCAGCAGCAGCAGCAGCAACAGCAGCAGCAGCAGCAGCAGCAGCAGCTGGAGCTGAAGCCTTTTGTCTTTAGTTCTTCAGGCTTTCTCTTTGACCCTCTCAAGACAGGAAGGAGACCCTGTGGGGCCCCACGACCCGATGGGGCCCCTCACACTGCTGAGTGCAGCACAGCAGCAGCAGCAGCAGCAGCAACAGCAGCAACAGCAGCAACGGCTTCTGGAGAAGAGGCTGAAAGGGGAACAGCCACGGCAGCGCCTGAAACTGCAGCAGCAGCTGCAGCTGCTGCAGCAGCAGCTGCTGCTGCTTCATGTCCCCGGTTATGCGAAGAGGCCTCACAGCACCGAAGCCCTTCCGATGCCTCAACAGCAGGCAGCAGCAACAGCAGCAACTGCAGCAGCAGCAGCATCAGCATCAGCACTGCGGATAGTCTATGCAACAGCAGCAACAACAGCGACAGAACAAGCAACAAAGACAGCAGCAGCAGCAGCAGCAGCAGCAAAAGAAGCAAGCACAACAGCAACAGAGAAAACCCCAGCAGCAACGACAGCCTCAGCAGCAGCATCTCTACTCAATGCAGCAGCAGCAGCAACAGCAGCAACAGCAGCAACAGCCACGGCAACAGCAGCAGCAGCAGTAGCAACAACAACAGCAACAAGGACAGCATCAGCAACAAGAACAGCACCAAGAACAGCAGCAACAGCAGCAACAACAACAGTAGCAGCAACAGCAGCAGCGACAACAACAGCAGCAGCAACAGCAGCAACAACAGCAGCAGCAGCAGCAACAGCAGCAACAGCCACGGCAACAGCAGCAGCAGCAGTAGCAACAACAACAGCAACAAGGACAGCATCAGCAACAAGAACAGCACCAAGAACAGCAGCAACAGCAGCAACAACAACAGTAGCAGCAACAGCAGCAGCGACAACAACAGCAGCAGCAACAGCAGCAACAACAGCAGCAGCAGCAGCAATAGGGGTGAAGGAGGTGGAGGGGAGTGTGGGGTATTGTCTCCTTTAAAGGTCGGAGGCACTGTCTCCTTTTGCAGTGTCTGTGCAGGCGTTAAGAAGCCAATATTGTTTATATCTTCTCGTATACACCCTAATGAAACGCATGCAAGCTATTTGTTTTTGGGGCTTTTAAGCTTTCTGCTGTCTGAAGCAGCAGAAGCTCAGCTGCTGCGGCTGCTGTTCTCTGTTGCTGCTGTCCCTATGAATAATCCTGACGGGGTTGTTGGGGGGCTTTCAAGAAGCTGTCTGCATGCAGAAGATCTTAATAGAGTCTGGCTGTCTCCTTCAAAGGCCCTTCATCCTACTGTCTCCTCCGCAAAGCAGCTCCTCATACACCTCAAACAAAACAAACAAACTCCTCTACTCTTTCTTGATATTCATTCCCACTCACTCAAACCCAATATCTTCCTGTAAACCCTAAACCCTAAACCCTAAACCCTAAACCCTAAACCCCTAGAAGCGCAACAGGAGACAGAAACAACAGACACCGCAACAATGCCGGGGGCCCCAAATATCAATCAAGCAGCAACTCAGCAACAACTACACTGTTAGCTGCTCCTCTTCCTACTATTGCTGCTGTTGCTGCTGCTGTTGCTGCTGCTCCTGCTGCTGCTGCTGCTGCTGCTGCTGTTTGTGCAGCTACGCGAACGCTGCAGATTTGCCGTTAAGCTCAGAGGGGCCCCCTCTCTGCGAAGGACTGCCAGGGGGGCCCCTGTACCCTTTTGCTAAAGGGGCCCCCTTCTTTTCAGGGGGGCCCCTCTATTCTGGGGGCCCCCCCACCTCATGGGGGCCCCCCCCCACCAGCTCTACCTTGCTAAAGACAATGGAAGACCGCTGTCCTTGGTTCGATATCAACGGTACGCCGCATACCTAGGGTTTAGGGTTTAGGGTTTAGGGTTTAGGGTTTGCAGGTGTTCAGGGGCTGGATGTCTTTCTCTTCAGAGGGTGCTAATGAAGCGTTTGTGCGCTTAGAACGGAGGGTTTAGGATTTAGGGTTTAGGGTTTAGGGTTTAGGGTTTGCGGCGTAGGGTGCATAACAAAGATCCACAAGTGCAAAGAGGGTACAGGGAGAGTTGTGGGGTTTAGGGAGTTGGGGATCGTCTCCTCCTACACCCTGGAGGTCTCGAGCTTCGGCTACGGGGAGACAGACCCCCAGAAGCTGCTCAACGTCCTTAGAGTCGTAAACCCTAAACCCTAAACCCTAAGCCCTAAACCCTTGTGAGGGGCGAACGCGATGTGCAGCAGAAGAAAAAGCCGCAGACGCGTCCGCTCCAGGGTTTGAGAAGATGTAGGCTTTCAGGTTCTGGGTCTAGGGTTTAGGGTTTAGGGTTTAGGGTTTAGGGTTTGTATTGCGGTGTCTTTAAGGGAACACAAGGAAGAGACAGTGTCTCCTCCTCCACGGCCAACGAGGAGACAGGGGCCCCAGGAGAGAGGGCCCCTAAAGCTGCAAAGGAGGGGCCTCAAACCCTTTCTGCTTCCGCACCCAGTGCGTCATCACCTGTTGTTGTTGTTGTTGCTGTTGTTGTTGTTGTTGCTGCTGCTGCTGCGCGTGCTGTTGTTGCTGCTCCTGGTCTTGCTGTTACTGTTGCTGTTGCTGCTGCTTGTGCAATTGCCGCTTCTGCTGTTGTTGCTGCCGCTGTTTTTGCTGCTGCTCGTGCTGCTGTTGCTGCTGCTGCACTTTACCACTGCCCCTCCTACAGTCTCACCCTAGAAGCATCTCTTTGATACGGGCGTCAGGGGGCCCCCAGCATCTGTTGCTGCTTTTGTTTGCAGAAGACATCGGTGCAGGGGCATCTCCTCCTCCTCCTCAGCCGCTTGGGGGCCCCCCAGGAGGTACTGGGGGGCCCCCTACTTCGGAGGATCAGGTGCTGGGGGGCCCCTCAAGCGGTGCAAGCCATGGGGGCCCCTCAAGCGGTGTTGCAGCAGCTGCTGCTGCAGGGGCCTCCGGGGCCCCCGGGTCCCCAGGGGCCCCAGGATCTCCAGGGGCCCCAGGGGAAGGTGGAGGGGCCCCCGGGGGCCCCCCCTCCTTGCAGCCGTTTGAAGCGGATTCTTTGTTACTTGCTGGGGTGTCTGTGGGTTTGGCCCTGCACGACTGGGCCGTGCAGATATTACGGGGGGCCCCCCAGCTGCTGCAGGCTGGGGGGCCCCCTCCTACGAGCTCAGGGTTGAAGGCAGGGGGGGCCCCTGAAGCATGTATTAGGTGCGCTTTGCTGGGGCTGGGGGGGGCCCCCGCTGGCTCCACTGCTCCTCCTTGCAACGGTAACAAACCCTCAGGGGGCCCCCGAAAAAGGGGGGCCCCCCGGAGGCGGCACGGCTCAGCAGTACCCTCTAGGACAGAAGATGGCAGCCTCTGGAGCGGAGCAAGGGCCCCCGGGGGCCCCCGGCTGCCCCGTGATCTCTCTCTCAGACGCCTAACGGGGGGAGGCCCCCCCGGGGAAGCCTGTATAGACAGTGGGGGGACCCCTGGGTCCCCAGGGGCCCCCCTTGCTGAGACACCGGAGACTGAAGGGGGCCCTGCAGGTAGTTCTTTAGGGTTTGAGTATCTGCCTAGAGCAGAAGAAGCAGCAAGAGCAGCAACAGACGCAGTAAAGAATTCATTGAGATACTTCGCTTCTAAATCGAGTGCTGCTGCAGAGGGGCCCCCTGCTGCAGCAGAGGGGCCCCTTGCTGCAGCACAGGGGCCCCCCCATACAGCAGGCTCGCGAGGGGGGCCCCCTCCCCGCCCTGGTGACGGCATTGTGCTGCTAGATGCAGAGGCCCTGCTGGGAGCCCCTGAGGGGCCCCAGGATCGGCTTCCTTCAGTACCCCTACACAAAGACAAATGCATGCAGGGGACGACAAAAGCAGCAGCAGCAACAGGAGCATCTGTTGCTGCTGCTGCAGCAGCTGCTGCTTCTGCTGCTTCAGCCACCTCCAGAGACGGGCGCTCCGCCTCTCTTACTTCAAAACCACCGGGGCCCCCGAGGGTACTGGGGACCCCTGGAAGCCCTGGGGGCCCCCAGGGCCCCCCAACACTACCAAAGAGAGCAGCCTTGGGGCTCCGCGGCCTCCCTAAAAGCGCAGCAGCTAGTCTCCGTCTGAGGCAGAGGATACTGGTTTTAGGGAGGGGGCCCTTCAGCACATCTTGTGACGGTGCAGCAGAGCCTCTTCCCGGGGACCCCTCAGGGGCCCCGGCCTCCCCAGGGTCTCCTCAAGGGGCCCCCTCAGGGGCCCCTCAAGGGGCCACCTCAGGGGCCTCCGGCAGGGGGCCCCCTAGATGCAGCTCAGGGAGAAGAAATCTGGGCCCCGATGCTATGAACATCCCTCTTCAGGGGGGCCCCCAGGGGCCCCTCAGCCCTCACGAGAGGGGGAGCTGCTGCTTCTCCTCTCCAAAAAGAGACAGAGAAGAGGCGGAGGGGCCCCCCACCTGGGGCCCCCAAGAGACTGTCTCCGTGGGAGCAATGGAGACAGCCGTACCTCCCCTGCAGCCTCATCACCAGCACAGCCAGCGAAGAGACGAAAGGGGGCCCCAGAGGGGCCCCCATGCTTGCTGCAGTTGGGCCCTCAGCCGTATGAGAGCAGCAGCAGATCACCTGAATGAAGGGCGTTTGGGGGCCCCTGTGCCTCAGGGGGCCCCTCTCTCAGGAGACAGTGCAGCAGCTGCAACAGGAAGCCTGGAGGTACCCGAAGGCCCCTCAGGCCCATTTGCTGCAGCTCCCTTAAGCCCTAAGACCTGTACAGACACCCCAAACCAATGTGTTGACAGTGCGAGGGGGGCCCCCAGCAGCAACGGAATAGAGGAAGGAGCTGCAACAAGCTCAAGAAGCTGCTGCCCTTCTAGCGCTGAGGGGTCCTGCAGTTGGGGGCCCCGACTTGCGGGTGTCTCCTACGGGTCTCCGCGGCAGCGGCTGCCTTCCCAGAGTGCCCAGGGGCCCCTGGGGTCCCCCAGTCAAAGAGGTTCCTTAGGGGCCCCCCAAAGGCCCTTTCGAGGTTCAGGGGGCCCCCTGAGCCCTGCTTGTACAGGGTCTTCATCGGGCATTCAGAGGGCCTCCGTTGGTTCTTTTCTGGGGCCCCTAGGGGCCCCAGCACCTTCTAACACACAGTACACACCCTGGGGAGAAGGGGCCCCTTCTGGGGGCCCCCTAGGGCTTGAGAGCCTCACAATCAAAAGAGTTGTCCCCACCTTGAGGCCCCAAAGGCCCAGGAGAAGAGGCAGTGTACAGTGAAACAAAAGGCCCCCAAGGGGAGCCCGGGGGCCCCTCAGGGGCCCCCAAAAACACCCTGCTGCTGTTGCTGTATACTCATCCTAAAACGCAAGGAGAGCAGGGGTTTCTTGCGCTTAAAGGGGGCAGCAAGGGCAGTGCCAGGGGCCCCCAATGCTCTCCAGGGGGCCCCCGAGGGGCCCTACGCTTCCATCGAGGCCCCAAAAGGCCTTCAAAGGGCCTCCTGGGGCCCTATAGGGGACCCTTGGAGGCCCCTAGGGGTCCCCTGGGGGGCACCCTAGGGGGAATGGGGCCTCATAAGGGGCATAGCAACCTATGCTGAAAGACAGCGTAGGCCTAGTGCTGAGGCTCTTATAAGGGCTGCAGGGGCCCCGAGCAAACGGCTTATTGCGCAGTGTCTGGGGGCCCCCTTGAGTATTTTTTGTGTTGACTTTGGGGTTGTTAGTAGCGGTAAGGTGAAGGAGACAGATAAACGAGCAGGAAATAGGTAAAGGAGACAGATATAGAAAATAGAGACGGAAGGAGACAGAGAAAAAAGCAAGAGACGCAGCATAAGCACAGCAGCAAACGCTGCAAACAGAGACGGATAAGGAGACAGAGCCCAAAGGCCTGCGAGGCAAACCATGAGGCCTCAAAAGGAGACACCAAATGAAATGTCTTATAATACACCCGCCTGCATGCACCTCCATTGGCCTCTAGAGAAAATTTCCCTTCGTTCTTTCTGCTGCTATAACTGCTGCTGCTGAGAATGCTGCTGCTGCTGCTGCTGTTGCTGTCTCTGCTAAGAGGTTACAGAGAGGCTTAAGTTGCTGTCTACCGAATGCGTTCGGTGTCTCCATTCGTGGGTTGAACCCTAAACCCCAAACCTCTAAACCCTAAACCCTAAACCCTAAACCCTAGGCCCTAAACTGCATGTACCGTGCGTACACCGCAGGGTGTACGTACACCCGAACCAGCAGCGCCATTCGCCGCAAAGAGACTCCTCAAAAAATATGAGGGCCCCCAGTATGTCTGTTGGGGGCCCCCAAGGGGCCTCTTGGGGCCCCCCAAGTGACGGGGGGCCCCTGAGTGAATAAAAAAGGGTACGCACACATGTCTCTGCGCGTTTCGCAGGAGACAGTGTCTGCACAAATCTCAAACATAATGAAGGAGAAGGGGGGCCCCCAAGAGGGGTATAAGGGGCCTCTTTTATCGTGTAGGGGCCCCCGCGGTGCCCCTTAGGATGGGGGCCCCTTGGTGCTATGTGTTGTTGCTGGCATTATATAGGTGTTGTTGATCTTCAGGTGTACAAGGGAAGATTCAGGTGTATGGGCAGGTGCTGGAGTTTAGCTGAGTGTCTCTTTAAAACGAGAAGAGGTGGAGACAGACTGTTGGGCGGTGGTGAGGGCTGTCCCTTCTATACTTCTACTCACGAGGCCTGATATGTATGTATATAATATATATGTATATAATATATATGTATATATAAAATATATGTGTATATATACATGTGTGCATATATATATATATATGGATATAGATGGATATATATATATATATACAAATGCATACACTATACACATATATACATATATACAGGTATATACATCTATATATTTACATTTATATATATATGCATATATATATATACAATTATATATATATACCTCTGGGCGTAGGGGCCTAGAAGTCGTGCAGCCAGTTGTTGCAGAGCTGCTGCTGCTCTGAGGAGACAGAGGAGACAGAAAAAGGAGACAAACAAAACAGAAGGGAGATAAGAGAAAAAAAAAGACAAAGCAGCAAGAGGGGGAACGAGCAGGAGACAGTAATGAAGACAGTAAAGGAGACAGTAAAAGAGGCAGAAGGAGACAGCAAAAGAGACGGGAGGAGACAGTAAAGGAGACAGGAGGAGACAGTAAAGGAGACAATAAGGGAGGCAGTAAAGGAAACAGAAGAAGACAGTAAATGAGACAGACGGAGACAGTAAAGGAGACAGAAGTAGACAGCAAAGGAGACAGAAGGAGCAGAAGGGGACAACAGCAGCGACACACAGAGACATAAAGAGACAGACAAAGAAGAAAAACACAGAGAGAAAAAACAAATGAGCAAAGACAGACAAAGAGACATAAACAAACAGAGAGAAACAAACAGAGAGATACAAACAAACAGCGACAGCAAAACAAAGAGAGTTAAACAACGAGAGAGAGAGAGAGACAGAGACAGAGCGAGAGAGAGAGACACACAGATAAAGATACAGAGAGACAGACAGACAGAGAAGGAGAAAGAGAGAGAGAGTGCGAGAGAGAGACAGACAGAGCAGGAGAAAGAGACAACGAGAGACAGCGAGAGAGAGAGAGAGAGAGAGAGAGAGAGACAGGGAGAGAAGCAAAGAGACAAAGAGGAAGAGAGGGAGAGACTGATATACAAACGGAGACAAAGACGGCGAAAGATAAAAAGACAGAGCTAGAAGAGAGAGACAAGCAAATAGGGAGGGACAGAGATAAAGAGATAAAAAGATAAAGAGATAGAGATATAGAGACAGAGAGACAGTAAAAGAGACAAAAAAACCCTCACTGGCTGTAGGCAGTGGTTCTGCAGTGCTTGCAGGCTGCTCATCAGAGTGGAAGAGACAGAGGGAGGGAGACATACAGATAGACAGAGAGACAGACAGACAGGTAGACAGGTAGACAGAGAGACAGAGAGAGACAGAGAGAGGGAAAGAGAGACAGAGAGAGGGAGAGACAGATAAGAGAGAGGGTGACAGGGGGAGAGAGAGACAAACAGAGAAAAAAAGCTATACAGACAGAGACAGCGAGAGAGACAGAGACAGCGAGAGAGACAGAGAGAGACAGCAAGTGCCTCACCATCCGTAAGAAGTGTCTCTTTGTTGCTTTCAGCATGCACATCAGAGTTAGAAAGAGATGGAGACAGAGACAGCGAGAGACAAAGACAAGGATACAGAGACAGAAACAAAGAGAGACAAAGACTAGAAGAAAGAGACAGAGACGAGGAGAAGGAGACAGAGACAGTGAGAGACAAAGACAAGGAGAGAGAGAGACGCGCAAAGAGAAGACAGAAACAATTCTCACCAGCCGTCAGCACTGTCTCCTCAGTGCTTTCAGGATACATATCAAAGGCCTGGCAATCAAAGGGGCCTTTTAACTTAGGAATAAAAGGGGGGGAGACAGAATGACCATAGAGACAGCCAGGGGCGAAGGAAAAGAAAGAAGAGTAAAAAGGAGACAAAGATGCATCTAACAGAGACAGACGCGTTTTGCTGTTCTTGTCCAGTAGGCGCAGCAGCAATTGCTGAGCACAATCAATACACCTTGCAGCAAACAATTAACTGTCTACTCCTTATTAATCTCTGTCTCTCTCTCTCTCTCTCTGTCTCACTGCCTCCTCTCTCTGTCTCTCTTGCTGTCTCTCCTTGTCTTTGT